TATTTTTAAATATTTTATCATATAAAAAATATATTGTATCGCATTATAATTTACCACATGACTATGATCTGCAAATTCTCTATAACGGTCTCTCTCTATAACGGCCTTTTTTTGCCAAATCAGGCAGGCTGTTATAGAGAGAGTGAACTGTATAGTGTGTGATACAACTTTAGAGTGTCAACAATGATATTATTTGGTGTCACAATATTACACACGATTCAACCACTATTACTATATATATATATTCATTGAACAAGAAATTTATTTATTTATTTTAATGATTAAAGAGTTGTTACGTGAATAAATAAAATGTGAAGTAGTCGTTGTTAAAAAAAAACGACCGAGACTTTTTTGAAAGTGTAAAAAGGAACAGGATAATTTTCCTTGTTGTTGACGAGAAACTGATCAAGTCTTTTTGAAAATAATGCAAATAAGATGCTCTGTCATTATTAATTGAAAAAAACGGGAATCAGTCGTTGTTAAAAAAAACCAAGCAAGACCTTTTGAAAGTGTAGAGGGGTTTTTCAATACCAGCATAAAAGGAACAGGACAGTTTGCGATTAATTTCCTTATTGTTTGTTGACGAAAAAACTTAAAGAAGATGCTTCAACATTACAAAAAAAAACAAGACAAATGATAATTTATAAAATGTGTTTTTCACATTTTTAGTTATAAACAATAATCAATTCAATGTAGATTAAATCATAAAATATATTTTACCATTATTAATTAAATGTTAATAATAGAATAATCATAAATACTAAAATAAGAAAGACATTTCGCTGTCACCAAAAAAAGCATTTTTAGTTGATTTTTTTAAATTAAATACTTATCAATGCTAACTAATCAGAATCGTCAAAGGTAACAAACAATTTATTCTTATTAATCTATTCAACAATTAATTAAAGAACATATCAAATCAATCAATAGTCACCTTTATCACACTAAAAACAAACCAAACAGTTCCCTGTTAGTTCGCATGGAAAAGATTTATTATTGTACGATAAACATTTATCATGTGGAAAAAGTTACGTAGATCATTGAAATTTGAAACAAAAATACTTTTGTTATCCAAAAATAATAAATGTTTGTGGTTATTTTTACATCGCCGTCTCATGCAAATTCCCATTTATATATCTATTTGGCAACTGAAAAATTATCTATTTTTGTCCAGAACATTAGGATTGAGCGACCGAAAGGAAATCGCGTCCAGCTGGACTAGACTTTTTTATCACCTCAACCACATGATATACACAATCTACTCTTGTTCTTTTATAGAATTTTTAATTATCCCCAAAATTACCATCACATTTGTCCAGGAACCATGAAATTCAATTCAATACTTTCATATTAGCCACAAATTATTAAAGTCAATAGTCACATTATTTTTATTTTGTCCTCCAGCATTATCACAAGTAATCTTTAAATGCTTTCCACTTTTATTCAATTTCTTATTCCATCCAAAATCATGCCAAGTGTGCCATTAGGACCTTTTCCTATCATTTCATCTTCATTAAGAACATAATTAATTTGTTCTCTTACTGCTTCATCTTGAATACCAAATAAATGAACTTTACATGAACTAATGTAATAGATTTTACTTACTTGTTGATCTGAATGTGGCACATGTACATTTTGAGCTCAATCCATAACTATAATAAGCAGTGGCATCAATGTTGCAATATGGTGTTTTACCCTTTGAATAATTTTGATTAATTAATTTCCTTTGTTCTTTTGCTAATTTGGTGTTTTTATTATAATAATTTCTTTCTAATCTGGCTTTAGACAGATGTCATTTTGAGTAATTCTTTAGCTTTTTCCTCTTGGCAAGCATTATAATGTAAACCATTTCTAAAATGTTGACAGGTATCACATAGATCAGTCCTTCGACTCATAATTGAATCTCTGGTGTCAATTGACATCACTACGTCCTGAAAGCATCATCTTCAAAGGTTTCAATTTGTTATCTTCCTCCAGACCAGCTATAAAGTCCCTGTATGCTGATTTATAACTCATTTCATCTGGTAATAATAATGTAATTGATTGGGTTATACCATTGTTACTTCTTCCAGGACTTGGTAATCCATGGATTTTTGCATAATTTTCCAGAAAATTCTTTATCACTTCAGCAACATTTTTATCAATCACCATTTTAGTTTTTCATTGAGGCATCCTTTTTACATTACCATGAACTCTTACTAAAAGACCATTGTTTATTAGATGATTTCTGATATTTTCAAAATAAGTTCTAACATATTGAGGTAAGTTTCTTGACAAAGGAGTGTATTGTGTTCCCAATGGTAGAAAGTTCTTTCATTAGATCTGGTTTTCCTTTTAAGGTGTCTACTAGTGCTTATTGATCCACCATCCATTGCCTTAAGTTGGCCATTAAAAATATGTCTTTCTCTGTTTTAGAGAGAGCTTGAAAAGATTCTCTTAATTCTGCAAATTGTTCCTTGGGAATTATTGAAGAACAACCACAGTTACAACCTTTTTGTAAAAACCGATTGCCTTTCATATTCATTAGAACCATTGTATTTATTACTTTTGTTAATGTTTTTCATATACACTTATATCTATATATATATAATTTTACAAATCAATGATAAACATACCCCAGGAAAAATTACAGATATTAGGCTAAAACAACTACAAATAAATCTCTGGTTACCAATTTCACCATTGTTAATAAACGATGCCCCTTTCAACAAAATAAAATGCAATATAATTGCAGCCACACTTTCTTTAATAAAGGATACCCCTTTGCAATTTTCTCCTTACAATAAAAATGAAATCAAAGGTGATTAATTTCCATTAATAGATATACTAAAGGAATTATATTATCAACATGCTAATAGACTAAAGAAATACAATATCATGTTCTTAGATCAATTAGCATCACAAGATAGAAATTATCTGATAACTAGAAAAGAACTTGCTGCCAGGTATAAAATATACAGAAATTCAGGAAAAACTGATCCTAAAGGGTTTCATAAAATACAACAATTAGTGTTGGAAGATTTTTCATTTTCATGAAAACTCAAACCTACTTTTACTCTATGTTCAACTAAATTTATTCCTTTAAATCTTGAACCCTTGATATGGATCAAAACAGTAAGGATTGGGTAGCAATTTGGAACAATAACTTAAAAGATTCAATACTTGGAAGAATTATACCGTACTTTCCAAACATAAACATTAATGCCTCACCATCAGTTAATAGGTCTCTGATTAACAAATGTCAAGGATGTCCTTG